GCAACCGATCCCTACTTTTTTCTCAAGGTGCCTGCGTAGCACGAAGCCTAGTAGACCTCCAGGCTGGCCACTGCAAGGTGCTTGTTGCAAACTTCAGCTACGAGCGCCGACATGTTTTCCCTGGTACTGTCATCGCCTATGCCTACCCAGTGACCAATGTGACTGAGTGTCTTGCTTCCGAGGCAACCGATAATGCTGAAGCACCTCTCCGAGGCGTCGACATAAATCCAACGCTTTTTGACGAAAATAAACGAAGGCTTAACGACCTGTTGATAGAAGTCCACGCCTGTTTTGCGCGTTCCTCGAGAATCCGTCAGACATCAATTACCAAACACCGTATTATCACCTACGGCGACGCGCACCCTATATGGCAACAGCCTTACCGCGTTTCACCAACTGAACGACGCGCGATTCAAAAGTAAGTAAAGAAATGCTTCAAGACGGTGTAATACAGCCATCAAGCAGCACATGGTCATCGCCAGTGGTCTTTGTAAAGAAGAAGGGCGGCACACTTCGCTTTTGTGTCGACTATAGGAAGCTGAATTATGTCACAAAGAAAAACGCGTACCCGTTGCCTCGAGTAGACGATTCTCTTGACAGGCTGAGACGAGCAAAATACATTTCCTCAATCGACCTCAAAAGTGGTTGTTGGCAAATTGAAGTCCATGAACGTGACTGCGAAAAAACGGCTTTTGTAACTCCTGACGGTCTGTATGAATTCCGAGTGCTCCCATTCGGCCTCTGTTCCGCTCCAGCCACATTCCAACGAATGATGATACCATTCTCGCTGACCTCAAGTAGAAAGGTTGCCTCGTCTATCTAGATGATGTCGTCATCTTATCGAAAACGTTTGACGAGCACCGTCATCGCCTTCGGAGTGTTCTCGAAGCTATACAATCCGCTGCCCTTACCCTCAAGCCTTAGAAGTGCCATTTTGGCTACAAAAAATTGAAGTTCCTGGGTAACGTTGTGAGCACTGCAGGCGTTCGGCCCGATCCAGAGAAGACTGCCGCTGTGGCTGCCTTTCCAGCTCCGACAGACAAAAAAAAGCCTTCGACGATTTCTGGGGCTCTGCGCATACTATCGCTGCATTATTGAAAACTTCTCCAAGATTGCGGAGCCTCTCATCAGACTTACGCGTGACGACACCTCATTTCAGTGGACTGACAAACAAGCAACTGCCTTTGCGGAACTGCAACATCGATTGTCTTCTTCTCCTGTACTTGGTCATTTCGATGAGTACGCTGACACAAAGGTGCGCACTGACGCAAGCAACGATGTTCTTGGAGCTATCTTGGTGCAAACACAAGATGGGACCGAACGTGTGATTGCCTACGCGAGCCGCACTCTATCACGTGCCGAGACTAACTATTCAACGTCAGAGAAGTAATGTCTTGCAGTAATATGGCCGATTACAGAGCTCAGGCCTTATCTCTATGGGCGCCCATTTAAAGATGTGACTGATCACCACGCTTTATGTTGGTTGGCTAACCTCCGAGACCCCTCTGGGAGATTAGCACGATGGAGTCTGCGACTTCAGTAGTTCGATGTCACCATCGTATACAAGTCGGGTAGAAAGCATGAAGACGCCGACACGCTATCATGAGCACCTCTGGAATCCGACCATACAGCTGTAGAAGACGACAGCACCTTCTTGGGAACTCTCAGTGGGGCGGACCTCCTCAGTAAGCAACGAGCGGACCCCAAGTTAAAGGCCATCATAGATCATTTACAAGGCAGCACTGTGTCTGTTCCTCGTCCACTTTCCCGTACGTTGCCGTCATTTCGCTAACACGGCATATTATACAAGAAAAACACCGGCGTCAGCAGCAAATCTTATCTTGTAGTCGTTCCTCAAAACCTTCGTGATGACATCCTATTAGCGTGCCACGATGAGCCGACATCCGGCCACCTGGGATACTCACGGATGCTCGACAGGGTATGACAGCTATATTTTTAGCCAAAACTCGCAGTTTGTGTCAAACGCTACGGGAATGGATGCCGCGAATGTCAGCGTCGTAAGTCACCACCTGTAAAGCCTGCAGGCCTCCTACAACCCATCAACCCCCTGCGTACGCCATTTGACCAGGTTAGGATGGACCTTCTTGGACCGTTTTCTTTGTCTCACTCCGGAAACAAGTGGATCATCGTCGCAACTGATTACTTGACGCGTTACAATGAGACAAAGCCACTTCCACGCGGTACAGCATCTGAAGTAGCCCAGTTTTTCATGCTCCACATTGTGCTTCGTCACGGTGCCCCGTCATTCATCATCACTGACCGAGGGACAGCATTTACGGCAAAACTGTTGGAAGACATCTTCAAGCTCAGTTACACGAACCAACGCAAGACAACCGCATACCACCCCCAGAATAACGGCTTAACAGAAAGGCTGAACAAAACGCTGGCGGACATGATTTCTATGTACGTGGATGTGCGGCATAAAACATGGGACGAAATCCTGCCATACGTAACGTTTGCGTACAACACCGCAACCCAGGAAACGACGAGGTTCGCACCATTCCGCCTCGTTTACGGTCAAGCGTGCAAACCATGGTAGACGCTATGATTCCTTGTGACATCGACCAAGAAGAGCTACTAACTCCTGATGTCGACGATTACATTCAGCGTGCAGAGGAAGCACGTCAACTAGCTTGCGTGCACATAAGATCGCAGCAATGTGAAGATGCCCGAAGGTACAATATCCACCATCGACAAGTCACCTATCAGCCTGGCGACCAAGTGTGGATTTGGACTCCTGTTAGACGGCGAGATCTCAGCGAGAAACTCCTGAGCAAATACTTCGGACCCTACAAAGTATTACGGCGGTTGAACGAGGTGAACTATGAAGTTATTCCCGACGGAGGCTCGGCAACGACCCAGCATCACTCAACACGAACAGAGATTGTGCACGTCGTCTGCCTAAAACCTTATTTTACGCGGTGATACTCACCTTATTGTGCCCGGGCAGCAAACATTTTTTTTTTACATTGTCCGTTGGGTCTCGAACGAACTGCGAATTGTGGTAATGTTTTTTTTTTTTTTCTTTCTATGACCAACTACAGACATTTTTTTTGCACCTCAAAGTATCGATTCTTTTTTTTTTTTTTCTTCTTCTTGTGGGCCCTGCTGTCCCCTTGCGTATGAGCATCAAGTCGATGCTCTAATGAGAGGGGGATTAATGTCACCTAGACTTGTGGGCCGGCAAGCCCTAGTCAGCCAAAAAGGGCAAAGAGAACGAAGAAGAAGTGTGTATTAGCACTTCGTTTGAAGATACACGCTTGTGTCTTTCTGCCCCCGCTGTTCTTGTCTTGTCTCTACAGCTCTTGGTGCATGACAATATAAGCATTCGCTCAGCTATGCATCATATGAAGTCTGTAACCCCCCCAGGCCCCCCACATAAAATTTTCTGTTTAGGTCCATACAAGATGACGATTATACTGGATGCAAATCCACAAGTCTGTTCCATAGAAAAAGATGATTACCTGTGCTGCTTAACAATGCTAGAGCAAGTCCTAGCTATAGTGCGCCAAAAAGCATAAGACTACGAGTTGTTATTGAAACAACGAACGGCATACTATTGGTGGAACAAGCTCAAAAGCTATTTAGAGTAAGAACTATGGGCCCATGCCTGAAAACATTATTGAATAATATGAATATGTTGTCTATAGTTGCGTACGAGCACTTTTTGAGTGAAGCTTTTATAACCCGCAGATTTCGGCAGCGTCAGATGCTGAAAACTACCGGGCATTGGTGAGCACCAAGAAATGCAACTTTCAAAGAAGCACTAGTCACCTGCGTACTTGTATGCACCATTTTTCAATAACTTATGCTCTCTTGATTAAGGGCTTGTCGATAATCAGTCAATTCCGTTATGGCAATTTGATCTTTTATTGAGGTCACTAGGCATTTCACGTTGCTGCATTTGATTGTTGCCTCGATATCACGCATGATGATCATTGTTGTGGTAACAGCTGATGTATTGCGCTTCTGAACACGTTGGCCCAATTGCCAGCATTGAGGAAAGAAAAACAGTTAGCAGGGAGCAACACACAATAAGATTGAAAGAGAGAAAGAAATAAAAAAGTCAGTACATCGAGCATGTAGACACAAAGCTTCGCTTGCCCTGTTTTCCTCAATAGACAAAGGACTTTTGTTGATCTTTTTCTGATATATGTACTTATAAAAACCTAAAGCACGCTCGGCATCTCCTTACATTTGCAATACGTTAAAGGAGCACCGACACAAAATTTCGAAGGAGAAATAATGAGCAAGATAGATTTATGTGGAGACATACACATCTAAAATCAATTTTAAAGTGCATGCCGGATGACTAGGCAAGTTGCGAAGCCCCTCGTGATGCTGACATCAATGCAGGGGCAACGTAAACAGACCTACATCGCGAGTTTGTGCGGGCTGGTTGCCGGCATGTGCCTTGCACTTGCGTTACCTGCGATTTCCTCCTGCGTGCCCGTGGCTTCGCGTGTGCTTGCTGTGCTGGCCGTCAGTGTGGCGGCCGTTCACACATCCTCATGCGTGCAGCGCCCATGCACAGTTTTGCGTGGTCATGCGGGCTTTGTTCACCTCGCCACCGGAACTGCTCCCCCTTAGCTCGGTGCTCTTTAAAATCGAAACTGAAGCTCGGTGGTCTTCAAACCGTCTCTAAATAAACAACCATCGTGTGCTCGTTCAAATGAGCTTTTCAGCAAAGATAAGTGGGGTCATAAGCTAGCTATAGCAACAACAACAAAAAAAAACTAATTATTAAGGCACAAAATTTTTGTGCAAGTGCTCCTTCAAAGGTTCTCTACCAGTCAGCAAGTAGTGTGCGTCACGTGTCTGACTTACTTCAAGTTGATGAAACATTACACTGATTCGTCATATTTTCATAGTCAGTGACCCATTTCACAAGTTTACGGAGGCATTCAGAACGCCGGAATGCTAAAAAATTAGCATAACGATATGGTACATCAACTAGGCCATGGCCCAACTAATTTCACCTTGCGAAACAAAGAAAAAAGCTGGGCGTGGTCTCGCTTAGGCACATCCATTGCATTTCCACTGCTGTTGAGTCGGCGCCACTCGGCCTGCAGGACACGAATGTGGCACAGCAGCTGCCTGGCGGCAGGCCAGGTTCGAAGAAGAGCTGTCTTGAGTGGCACAGAACTGTCGGTTATGAAGGCTGCAGGATGCTGGGAAACAAGTAAATTTACATTACTTGTTGAGCAATCGTATACACTGAAACCTCGTCATAACAAACCCGTATATAGCAAAATATCGGTTATAACAAAGTAAATGAAGAAACATCTTGCAATATATATAGTAGAGCATTTTACAGCGCAATGAATTAAATATCAACAGAGAAGGGACACACATTTATATACGTGAAATACAATAAAAACTTTGAAAATTTTCATCTACCCATTGCGATGCAATATATTCTATGATGAAAATCCACTAGCTTGCCCAATTCGCGATTCTGCAATACATATAGAGTGGACTCTCATTAAACGAAAATCTGTTAAGCGGAGCTGCTGCTTAAATGAAACAACTTCCTCTGATATTATTGCTTTCATACCTGAATGCTGCAACCCACTTTACCTCTCACTTAACAGAACTCCTGTTAAAAGGAACACATTTTCCTGGTCCCTTCAAGTTCCGTTTAATGAGAGTCTACTGTACTGTTAGGAATGAAGCTTTATAACAATTTTTCCGAAATAACCAACTTATTTTCGGGTTAGATGTAACTATGTTATAACGAGGTTCAGGTGTTCCAAGTTACAAAATAGCACAAGCGAAAGTTCCAAGTTACAAAATAGCACAAGCAAAAAAAAAATTGGACTTGACAGTTTCATGCAACAAAAAGCCTCAAACTGCAGTAGCTCAGTGCACTGGGTTGGCTGATACCTTTCTGAACTCATAAAAAACAATGCTAAAGAAAAAGAATGACGACGAGAGGAGATTAAATGGCTTCTCTGTCGTTTGCTTAAAAGGACACTAAATTGCAAAACAATTTTTCATGTATTAGTAAAGTAGAATTTACCACCCGATCCCGAAAACACCACCCTTACTGAGACACGACGCTTGGTAAATCAGAGAATGCGCGAATAAAAAAAAAAAAGTGGAGACGTTGCCGTGAGACGCCTGTACCGAACACTGTGACGTCATAGATTTTGCCAGTGTCCACTGGGCCCTACATAGTTTCTAATCGGTGGAAATGAAGTACATTGGCATCAGTGGGTGCCCTAGGCCTACCATAATAGGTTTCCGAAAATTCCGTCGAGCCCATGTCGCGAGCGTGCGACAAAGTACACTTTGAAATTTTTTACGTCATACACAGGCATTTCAGCACAAAGTTTAAAAATGAAACTTCAACCTTGATTTTATCCGTTAATAATTAACTGATGATACTGAAATATATGACATTACAGTTCTCAAAGTTCAGTTCGTCAATTTAACCAACGTCATTGTTTCTCTTTAGTGTTGCCTCAAAGTGCAAAGTACAACAAAGTTTTCTCAAAAAACTCACTCTGACAATATTGCTGCATCCTAAAAGCTCAGAGGGGCAGCCTAATTCAATTATGGCTCCTTTCCTTCACACTAGAGCCTGTCGCTGGCCAGAAGACTCCTGCTGCTCTAATCCCTATCAACCACAATATAGCACACTTTCACCTTATTATTGCTGGCAGCATAGTGCACAACAAGGTTGGTAGCTCTTTGTGAAAAGGTGGATACTTTCAGAGTGAATTCAGTAAGTGACAACAATGATGACAAACTTCTCAATGTTGCCCCCCTCCCTCCCTTTTAACATGAAAGCGCTTTATGCCAGGGCCAACCAAGACTTCGAGGACATATTTCTGTCACGAAAGTGATGTAGAAAAAATACGTATGATCAGAAGACGAAGAAATAAAGTTCAGTCATTAGGAGTCCAACCCATGATCTTTGGGTCCGTGGCAACAAATGCCAGGCACGCTATCCACTGCACCAACATGGTCACACACATTACGCCCTAAGAAATACACCTTTTATATTAACCATAATCTTCTCAGCATTCCTGGAAAGTGTAGTAATGCTTCACTATCGTGGCATCCGCCATTAGTTCCTTCAACAGGTCGTTTGTTAGCGTCTATCTCATTAGGTGCGCTTCTAGTAGGAGTACTTTAGTGCAATTTTTGTCAACGCCAAACACACTCCAAGGTGCCAATCTTACCCCAAGCGTCGGTGTCATAGCATTCATCCATACCAAGAAATAACTCTTCAACGCATAGAGAAACGCACCTGCTTCGTCTGGATGTACTGCCTCCATTTCTGCCACTTACACTCATTTCGCGAAAAATCGAGGCCAGCCAACAGACAAGACACAACGCATAATGCACTCCCCTCCGGTCGGGCTGTGGCGTTCAATAACTCCAACACGCTGTGAGTAGGCGACCTTAGCCCAAAGTTGGCATCCACTCAGTCGCGTTCCTCTGGCTGTGACAACGCTTTCTCCGGTTCCGCAGTCACCTACAACCACAAGAGTTCGTTTAACCATTATTGATGGGTGCTGGTTGACGAGATGGAGATGTGTGGCTAAGCATTAACGTTGATGCATCCACGTTAAACGGTGTTACAGCTGTCTAACACCAATAGACATTGCACAAGCTCTCTAATATCGATGCGCATTTTACTTTCGTGTTTTATGGATTCCTATGAAAGGGATCAAACATGTTTTTTTGTCATTGCTCATAGGGGACCTAGTCACTTGAGCAGTGTGCAAACGATCAGGCCGAGTGTTAAAGGGCCACTCACCAGGCTCCATACCAAATTTTAGTTAGACCGTGGAAGTTATTGGGTGTCCGATGAGAAACGTTTTGTCACAAAAATTTTTTCCATCGGTTCATTATGAGCTGAGAAAACTGTTTTTTTTTTTTTTTTTTTTTTTTGAAGCAGCACGAAACGAAGATGAGAGGAGGGCAGTTAGAAACCCTTGCCGCTCCTCCCCGTAGCCTTTGCGAACCAATTCTCTTCCCTACCCTCTCTGGCATCTGACCAAGAGGTCACGTGCACATGACATGAGCGAACAAGCCCAACCACCGTGCACGCGAGTGGCATATTGTTTTTACCATGCAGTGTTATTTCGGTCTACTGCCTGTTTCTGCGGGATAATTAGGAAACGCTGGCTTAGACGTCGTAGAATAGATGAGCACAAGGAGTGCGAGAACGCGTAGGAGCGTTCCACGGCTATCGTCTGCACGATGCGCTGACCGCAAAATCGCGAGGACACAAACACATGCGAAGCGCAGGCAAATAAGCCCCGCATCTCATTGCAATTCACGGAGGAGGAGGGGGGAGGGGGGTATTTAAAAAAAAGAACGCTCACATTTCCTCGTTGCATCTCATTATTTATCAAGAGATTTATTAATCTCTTGAAGTAACAAATACATAAACTACGCATGTTATGTTAAATAATTTTCGCCATGTCGCGTGCCACTGTTGGCAACGTCAGAGCATAGTCATCTACGTAGAGGACCAACGTCACTGCATTGCCCTGTACGTAGGGCCATTCATACATGCACGTCATGCCCTCATTCTCTGGGCGCGCGCCCGCAGAAAGAAGGGAGAGCAGCATTCATCTTGAAATTTGACTCATTTACGTGGCACGTAGCATTGCAAATTTTGGCAGACGTGATCATGAAAGCCTCATCTACGCATTGTGCTTGTCAGCTCAAAATTGTCAAACTTGGTGAGTGGCCCTTTCAGAACATCTCACATTGTAGTAAAATGAGAAAGGTAATTTATGGCCATCAGCAGGGTTTTGTCTTGGGGCGGTGCAAAACACCTGTTGTATTACTGCTTGGAGAAGCGCGAGCGTAGGTGTAAATTGGGTAGGGGCCTGTTTTGAGGGGTGGAACAAGTGCCCCTTTTGCAGCCCCCCCTGCCAATGCCCTCGAGTACTCTTTGTCATGTACCCGACAAGCATCATCAGTTCAATGCAAACGCTCACAGTGCCATCACAATTTATGAGTATTAAAGTAGTGTAACACTTCACACGACAAGTCAGTTGAAATATCTATAGGATTCCTACGATCAGGTTCAAGTCCCTGATGTGAGTCACCGAGCCGGTGTAAAAGGTGGAAGCGACGCCTTGACAATGATCAGCATGCACTGCTTACTGCTGTCTTCTTACCGTCAATAGATTTTCTTGTCTAGAACTTGGTGGCGTGATTAGCGCAAGAGAATACTGCGTGTTCACAAACAGCCCTTCGTTCTAGAAGAACTCTTCAACTCTGCACACTGTAGCCTCTTCCATCAAGAACCACGGCAGGGCTCAGAAATTTTTTTGCGCTCTATTGTGGTGCGATGCTTCTTTGTGTATTACAATTTTGTGCAAAATCCACTGTTGCACTGAGCAAAGGACACTCTTAAGGCTTTATCATGTTTCCCAGGATGGGACTGGGAGATTTGATTTATCTATTTATTCACTCATTAATGCGATAAAGTAAAAGAGCCCATTTCGCAGAAATTTTGGTGTCGGTACCAGCGCCATTGCTTGCAAGCGAAAAATCATCTTGTGCGCGACAAAAAAAAAAATTGAGAAATATACAAATAAAATACACAATAAAGAGTTCTGGGTCTGAGTGTGGATCGAACCCGGTTCATTTGCGTGGCAAGTGGGTGTTCTATCACACCGCCACGCCTCTTCTTGTGCATACAGTGAAAACGGCCTTTTCTTCTTGGAAATGCAGTGAAGGTAACTTTCATGCTTTACAAACACACTCGTACTGTAATCATGCTTGACAATACAACATAAAATATTGCAGTAATAATGCGTGGTACAAGCAAACAATGCCATCGGGCACCAGAACATGTGGCTTCATGGTTTATAGCCAGTCACCCACTACACAAAGCGCACACCTCACTGCGCCTATTCCCTTAAGGCTACGTAGTGAGTGTATAGCAAGTTCTAAAAAATTTCGTGCACTTAGTGTTTCAAGTATGCACTAGGGACAGCATATCGCTATCCTGTTCAACTGTTAAAGGCAAAAGTTAAGGGTCCCCAAACCTGTATTTGTTTTTATTTATTCTAAGTGGGCATTGAACTGGGAGGGCGATGACTACAATACAATTCAATAATCTTCCCTAATTATACATTTCAATAAATATTAATTTTAAGAAGCATGCCAAGTTGGTGTATACCATCAACATGATAATTAAATATTTCAATGCTATATAAAATACAAGATTTATGTTAGTATGAATGTTAGAATGAGGAAAAATGTGCTACACAACCTTACATCATACATACTATAAAAGAAGGCACAGAATGACACACACATCTTATGCAAGTAGTACTCAAGAAAAAAATGTAAAATATTTACATCTCTACTTGGAACATACACTTCAATTGAGTATTACTAAAGGGCCAGTAAACAGGCTCAGATGTTTTTGTTTTTTTTTTTCACACCCCAAAATGAGCTCACTATTTGGTACAGTAGACCCCAGCGATCATATTTTGCAAGATATGATAGCCGCCGTCTACCGCTACTAAAACTTTTCCCACAATTTTGAAAAACGATTCCCGCACTTCTTTCCTTGAAATGACAAATCTTCCTTGTACGCACAGTGCCGAAATCTTGCTGATGGGCAACAATACACAACCTTGAGCTTGTCCATTGAGCCTTTGCCCTGCGTAATGGCGCCTTGCCCCCGTGATGATGCAGTTTTGGCCACGTAGTCCACAGCTTCATTTGCCTGCGCTGCCCTCTGCCGTTTTGGGAAGCCCGAGACAACCAAGAGAAACAGTATTGCCAGAACGAAAGCCTTCGAGATAAAGAGGCACCTCACTACTCTGTCACTAGAAGAAGGGAGCTCCTCGCATTGTGTTTTTTCACTGTGCCATTATGACACGTGCTCACGTGGGGGCGCACTATTTGTTTGTTGGCTGTAGCTGATGATATATCACTGACATCGTGTTACGTTTAGGAAGTTGGTGTAGTCGTGAAAAAGGGCGGCTACGCTTATCCTTCTCTGTTGGGAGAAAAAGTGTGAAAGACGAGTGTGACACCTAAACCAGCCATAGCGGGTCGTGCTAAGCCCTTTAACTTCTTTATTATAGCACTCATTCGCAAAGTTCTTGCGGCAGCATGTTTGCATCGTATTAAAAGTGCACAGTTAATTCTTCAATGTAGATTTTAGACCTTGGAATGTTTCCTGGCACTTAAATAAATTGCAGTCTCCCCCCCCCCCCCCCCCCCCCCCAACTACGCCCTTGGTTGTCAATTAGGTCCCCACTGTTAACAAACTGCTTTTCTGTCCACTTTCATTCATTTCCACTGAAGTCACAACTTCCCCTCTTGAATTAAACTAGCTATAAATAATGACTCTACTGCTTTCTTTGGCTTCATTAAATTGTGTAAAAGAAAATCTGGGTCCTCTTATAGTTCCTTACAATGCTGCCCCAAATGCTCAACTGTGGTTAAGAGAGAGGTGACCAATGAGTAGCCAAAGCTTCAATAGCAACAATCATTCTGTAATGTTTTGTGGCAAGACTAGAACCTGCATCTCACCATTAAACACAATGTAGTGATTGGCAGTAGACAACTTCTGTCTACCTGCGTTTTCTTTATGCACTATCAGCGTCAAATGAATCCCGAACAATGGTAAGCCTTTGCAATAGTATAGTGTGCTCCATCCAGTTATCAGGATTGATAGGGGTGCGTATCCTGTTCAGCAATTCTGCACATATATGCGTGCCTGTCCATGATGATAAGCGAACGGCGCACACTATACTATCACGAAGGCTTGCCAGCGTATGGGTTTCATTTGACGCGGATAGTACTTTTATATGTAAATGCACCGGTGTTCCTGCCTTTAACCCCAATCAAAACGTGGCCACCTTGGCTGCCACATTTTGACAGTCACTTTTGAAATTATTTGCTGCGTTCAGCTGTGCGATTAGAAAACAAACAAGAAAAGAACTGAAAAACCTACACATGTACTTGCTTCGACTGCCCCAGTTGGGTTTCTCAAGCCCAACGTACCAACTTTTCCAGCATGTTCCACTAATTATTCTAGCAGCCGGCTAAATGAGCCCAAAGGTTACATTTACGCATCCTGAAAACACTGAAAACGGTAAAGGCTTCTCACCTGCTGGTTCCCAAAGCACAACGGATAGTCTGTTTTCAGCAAGTCAAAGGCCTTTAGGTATCCTCCGGCGTCTTGTTCTTTGTGAATAAACGCGGCAATCGGCACGGCCCCAGCTTTTGTGGCCGTCAGAAAAAAGGTAACCATGCTTTTCGTTGCATCGCACGACGTCACCGTGTCCACAAAGATCAAGTTGCTGGAGGACTTGAGCTGCTGAGCGCGATGCATGATTGGCGTCAGTAGTAGAACCGCCCATGAATCACTTGTGCCACTCAATTTTATGTCAGCCCCTGCAAAGAAATGTGGGAGTGACAAATAAACGGTGCTAGTTGATCATTGTTCTTTATATTTTTTCTAACCCAAGCTACCATTACTCAATGACAACACAGATGGAAAAAGGCAGGCGAATAAATTCATAACTAATATAAGTAATGTGTGATCATCAATACAAGGTCCCTACGCACAAAATCAGATATGCAGATGCATTGATATGTCTCCAAGGCCTATGGCTGAACCAGCGTGATGGCTAAAGCCAAAAGGTGCAGAGCCTTCTTGCTTTCATGCTGTTCGAAGGCTGCCAACACAAAAATTAGACCATTACAACCTATAGGTCGGCAAACTCTCTCAAGCATCAACTCACTCAGATCAAGCTGCGAGTCTGAGTCTGAGTTAGTCCAGGTGAGTAATATTTTAGTGAGTTTGAGTCTGAGTGAGTCCGGCTGGAGAAAATTTTAATAAGTGCGAGTCCGAGTGAGTTCGACTACGGAAAATTTCAATGAGCCTGAGTAAGTACAAAGCAGAACACATGTTTCTTGAGTGAGTAACAGTGAGTTTCATTCACGTTTCCTGACTTACAGCCCTGTCTACGCACCTTCAGCATTACTATGAGCCTTACCTGGAGCCATGCTTATACCAACGTCTACTCACAAGTATTTCAACACAATATTGTTCATATGCCATTTCAATATTTATTAATTAGAGGGGTGAATTACGTAGCGGGGTGCCTTGTACTCCCCCTCCACCAATTCCTCCGAGAGCTTCTTGATATATATATCTTATGTTGTCATCTATTTTATAAAGATGTCCTTGCAACCACTCATAACTCGTATTTGAGGATACTATATCAATGGACGCCTATAAGAACACCGATTAAGTGAGTTATCGGTGCTAAATAGCATTGACGCCATGATCTGCAAAGCTAATGCTAGGCTTACGGACTCGTGGGTCCACTCACTCGAACTCGGATCGAGCTGTGAGTCTGAGTGAGTCCGGGTGAATAATTTTCTGGCAAGTCCGGTTGAAGAAAATTTTAGTGAGTGTGAGTCCAGTGAGTTCGACTCAGAAAAATTTTGGCAAGTCTGAGTTCGAGTGAGTCGTAAAAGCAAGATATATTTCATGAGTGAGTCTGAGTAAGCTTCACAGTTTCTTCCAACTTATGTTACAACCTAAGAATAAATTTAGGCTCCGTCAACAGCCACTGATGTCCCACACACAAAGACCTTGCATAGATGGTCCACATATTTGCATATGGTCATTAACATGGCATCAAGCACCTTTTACGTGTTTTAACGTGAATGAAGGATGGAAACTTTGAGGCTTCATTTCTCTGTTTGACGGATCCTTAATGGAAACCAGAAAATAAGGTACCAAGGAAGGTACAGGTGACATTGGTTGTGCTGTTTCAACTATGTTATAGCAACCGCGATATACAGATGCGAAAGAAACGTAAAGCGGACAAATAACTAGCTACCAGTAGGCACCAAACCTATAACTTTTCGATCACGTGCCAATGTTCTTACCGACTAAGTTATGGCGGCAGTCGTCCGCTCGATCACTTATTGTGTGCTTATGAGCTTGCATGCAAAACTGGGAGTGTCAGCACCATTAGCACTCACGATAAGTATGGAGCAGCCTTTATCAAGTGGCGTCACGTAGCACGCGATGCTTTGCCGAGCGGACAGCTGATGACTGAGCACTCGCATGCTATCTGAAGGCACCAAGTCTGTTAGAATGAGACCCTCACAATGAACGAATGAAGGAAATTATGAGGCATTCTCTCTTTCACACAACTTTAATGAGAACCAGCAGATAACAAAGCAAAGTAGTGTGTAGAGGATGTTCACTGTGCTGTTTTATGTATGAACACTGAAACTTGGGCTAGTGGGTTGTACCTCATATTGAAATGGCAGTGCTACGGCACACGGACATAAGAAAGAGCCCCATGAAACACAGTATTGCAAATTCAACGCTGTGTTTGGTACGCCTTTTTTTTTTGTTCATATGTCATAGCGCTGCCATTTCATTATGTTTTATGTATATTGTAATAACTGCGATAGAGATGTGGAGAAAGTAAAGTTGACCAAAAGACAACTTGCCATTGCAATAGACTGAACCTGTGGCCTTCGGATTATGCTACTTTGGGATTATTCAGGTAAAAGACTTTCACACGCAGGCACATACTTGTGCCACAGGTTCTTGACCAAAAAGTGGAACTTCATACCCAATTTTAGAAAATAATATGACATCAGTGCTCAGTTAACTATAGTATTTTATGAAAAAATAATGAAATTTAAGATCTTGAAGGACCCTAGACCACCTCTGGTAATTATTTTAATATTTAAAGTAAACACATGGATCGAGTTCAGAGAGCTGCCCAGTGAACAATGCCAAATGCAGCAGCCCCACAAGCTGCGGGCGCAAGCCCCCGGTTTTCCGCAATACAGCAAGTTCAAGAAAGGTGCCATCTCGATTTTCGAATCACGAAGCAAACAAAGTCGGCCCAATGAGGCCACAATAACAGCTGAAATGCCTACATACCGCTACTCGCATAAGTAGCGGCTTTTTCAATCAACTTTGGCAAAGGATTCTCTGGTGATCCATATTTGTTTGACCGCCATTGTTTGAACCAGATGTACAGGATAGAGAGCTTGGGATTCATAGGCCCATCGGCGCCACTCTCCCCCGCCGCGAGAAGAAGCCGCTGGTTGTGCCGCTTCGCTTCAGACGGATTCATGCCCAATTCGAAATAGCCTTCAAACTTGAGCCTGGCCTCTGGTGTTGGGCGCGTTGACATGGGTGCGTCGGCACAGTCCGTCTTGTGATTGTGCTTGGAAATGAGTCTGATGACGGCTGGAAGTGGAGGATGTAACCGGAGGTACGAGTCATTCCTTTTGGTGTCTCGGTTCACCTTCTTTATCTTGATGCTCAGTTTAGCAGGGCAGGCTGGTTTCTTGAGGCAGGTGAGGCGACTTTTGTTTCGATGGCTGAGATGACACTCCCATATGTTGTGGTAAACCATCCTGTAAAGGAAGAGCAAACAGTTGGCCCGTCATATGCAATCAGGTGCCCGTCTGATGCAGTGCTTTGAGATAATGACATTTTTTTCTAAAAGCCTGCAAAAGGGATAAAATGATTTCACGTGTGATATGTGCCTCACACTGACACAATTCCAATGACACCAGTCTTGGTGCAAGATGCTTGTTAGGCTAGAAAATGTAAAAAGATAAAGTACATGCTGTGCTAACCCACTGGAGTCGTGCACACACTTGTCGTGATGTCATAAATTTTTGACAAGCCATCTGCTATGGACTGCATACATCTTTCTGGACAAAAATATCTATCGTTGTTTTCTAAGGAAGACAAGGACATAACATGATAAGCTTTAGAAAACATTATCGAGCCAATGTGGCATCAACATGAAAGAAAAAAAAGACTAGAATTCCTCACGGTGACATTAAGGTGGACATTGGCCTTTTCACACGAAAGTGGAAAAAGAACCTTCAGTCTTGATTGCCTCATTTAATAATGAACCCATGATTGCAAAATTTTATGACCATAGAGCTGTCGAAGAATGATTCAAAAGTCTCAATTGCTTCACTGCTTTAATTCAGTTTCCTTTGAGCTTGACAGCTAAAATCCAGCCACCATAGCCTTGGCAATCCTATATAATGTCTGCACATTTGTCAGTTGCTTTCATCATCCTTTCTCACAAAGAAAGGCCATACCAAATGATAAGTGCACTATTATTAAATATATGTTCATCAAAATTATTACTTCCTTTTGTAACTAATTTATTTGGCATTCCACTGGCATCTCAAGCCAGTGAAGAATAGTGGGAATGAGCCACTATCTGAAGAGCGGACGCCGCAGTCACTGTTGCATAAAAAAATGAAAGAATGGACTGTTGCATGACTGTGGCAAGACTAAATGAAGTGTCAAGTAAGCCATAGTTAGCTCACAATAAGAGATACTTTTTATTGCAGAAACACTTGCCCTTCCTAATTGACATTCATTTTATTGATGTGAAGTAGACTGGCAACTATCGTGGAAAGCATCTCAAAGGTAGGGTTTTGATTTGTGTGTGCTCTGGTGCTTGCCATTTTAAAAGCCCAGAGTATACACCATGTTTTGTATCTGCCTCCTTGTGTCTTCTAGCACCAATTTGCTAGCTTGGTGACAATATTAGCCAAAGGAAAGTTGTTTCCTCGAGCGTTTAAGGTCCTTTCTTGCAAGGTGTTCAGCATTGAATATGCAGAAAAACCAAGCTGTGCTTTTCTTTTCGTCCGAATGGCCATTTGAACTGCAGCGAGAATTCCAACAGTAAACTGATCACTGTACGATTGTTAAAATAACGCACCATATCAATAAAACTTGTTGACAGGACTTCAAGTAACAAACTTCCGGCAAATACTCTAGCTCAAAAAGAACTACCGTAAGTTTTACTGTCTTTGTTATCAAGCACTGTTGCACATAAATATGATTTTAAGGCCTTGCACACTCCTCATACAGGTTATTTGATAGGGCATGGATCTTGAGGCCTCTGCACTATAATGTTACTATAGGTTAAAAGATCAACAGACTAGATTTATTCACTCATAACTAGAGACCGAATTACAGGCAAATGCCTATTTTGTTTCTTGCACTCCTGTCATGCCACTTTGATATATGAGCATGAATTGGAGGTTAAGAACGGCTTTTCACGGCACTTCACTAACGTAAACGGCACTTCACTAGGTCCCATGAAAAAATTTGATTTCATTGACTGATATGTCGAGTTTAACGTGCCAAAACCACCATATGATTACAAGAGAGCCCGTAGTGGAGGGCTCCGGAAATTTCGACCGCCTGGAATTCTTTAACAAGCACCGAAATCTGAGCACACAGGCCTACAGCATTTCTGCCTTCATCGAAAATGCAGCCACCACAGCCGGAATTCTATCTCGAAATTTGCAGGTCAGCAGCTGAATACCTTAGCCACTAGACCACCGCGGTGGGACCATGAAAAAGTTAAGTGAAGACGCTGGAAGTTGTTGCATGCCCTATGAAAAGCTTTGTACTTTTATAATTTTTGAATTCGTTTATTACAAGCTGTGAAAGCATGATTCGAAGAGGTAAGCTTCAAAACTTTGCCACTTGCCCGGTGCAGACTTTAGAATCCAAATTCCTTCCCAGCCCTCTTCGGTATCGGAGCAACTCTGAGTCGGAAGATCACACGACGCAGACGCAACACGTCATGCGCACACAAAGTTACATTCACATAACATGCCCATGCGAGATTGTGCATGCAAGCAGTGTCATGTCGTTCTGATGTTTTCTGTATTGTACTCTTGATTCTGCGGGTGAATCCCTTTATGTGCGCACATTCGGAGAGGTTGGCATAAATCATGTATCCTAAGCCCGATACACAGTGTCACACTGCTGGAACTGCTCTAAGGGCCGATGCACCAAAAACACACCAAACATTGTGAATGCTGACACAGGCACGCTGCAAGAACACTAATGCAAACGAAATGGGAGCAGCTTAATCTCGCATCTCGCTCAATATGAAGTTGAGAATAATAATATGCATAGATTTTGTTTGTATGTTTTAGTATTTCCGTGAACCTTGCTTCTTCTATTCTGACACCAGATTGAACATAATAATCACATCGCCTCGAATAGTTCTCAGAGTGTCACGTACTACTTTGACGTATGGTGGACGATTCCTTGTTGTATATGTCACCTCTGCCATGTTCGGGCGCACCCCCCATGATGAAGATCAAGCTACGTTCAGTCTGACATTTCACCTCTTTTTGGGGCGCGCAGCATTGCAAATCTTGGCAGATGAGATCACGTGCACCCCATATATGCATTTCTCTTGCCTGCTCATAATTCTCAAACCTGGTGAAGGGCCCTTTATAGTGCTCACAGACGGTAGGAAAACTTACCCTGTGTGATCAGAACAACTTCATATGAGGCAAAATGACCCTTCTGGCCTATTAGCGCTCTGGCTATTTGCTGCTGTTTTGCCCTTCTACGTCATGTTGGAAATAAAGAGACCCAGTAGCGTGCTTGTTCGACAGTGGACACCTATCTCATTATGCTGGGCTAAAAAAGAAGAGACCGTATACTGCAAACCCTGTGGGGAAAGAAATTGCATGGCTATGCTAAACTATTGCCGCCTTTGTACTGTCCTAAACTAAAACTTTTCTGTTTGCTTTCCTGTCGTAGACAACAGATCTGACACGTATTTCTTCGAAAATCTGAATTTTGTCTAAGTTTATTGTGCCTATACTTAAAATTTCGGGGGCCTACAACAATGTTTTGCCTGCCTATTTTGGTGCCTGCACCCCAGCTTTTTAGTGCCTATAAATGCAGGTCAGCAGTTCACCATAAGCACTAGACCACCGTGGTAGGTAAAGACCTACTTGAGTGTGCTTAGATTGACTACAATGCATGCATGGGTATGGTATACAACATCACTGTGTCGAATAGCAGGTACAACTGCCTCTATGATTGTGCAAAGCAAATCTTCTATAACATGAAGGGAGTGGAGATTTGGAGCGTATTTTTTGGCTGAGCTTTGCAACCAGACGACCCAAATCAATTGCATGGTCATGTAACTTACTTTAACTGAATATATAGATCACATAAACTACCAATTTGTTCTATTAAAATGTCATAATAGTTGAGAAATTTAGGCTTGTAATAATACATTAATGAGGCTTGACATTCAGTTTTATTATTACAGTAGAACTTTGATTATTCAAAATCTTTTTGTTATGACTGGCAGGTGATTCAAAATTCAGAACTGGTGCCTGAAATGTTGTAGGAATAGAAAAAAAAACTACTGTAAAAGTGTAAGTGTAACGCTATGACAGAACCAAGGATTCTTGTAGATAAATCCTTCCTTTCATGAAAATCTCATGTCTCTAACACCAAACCAACGCAACAGTGTGACTAGTAACACAAGGCGTGCAAGAAATGGTGCATAAAAAGTGATCAGATGTCATTCTCAGAATACATTGTCACCAGATAGACGGTGCCGACTGCTTGGTCCCTACGACCATCGCTGCACAGAGAACTCGCAGCCCTAGCTACCATAAATCACTGCCCTCGACCATTAAGACTGCTGTGTCGCTCATAGACACAGCTAGGCTCACTGCCACTGCTGCCCACTAGTGTGGCACACTCACTTTCTAGTTGACCATTGTTTTCAGGTGCCAACCATGATCACTGCTCGCAAACTCAACTGCACCCTGCCGTCCATACAATGGAGGGTAAGGTCATCTGCACTACGTTCAAAGATGCTCTCGGTAGCTCAATCTGCATTTTATTATATGGCTCAAGCTCAATTCGAATTACCAGGTTCCACTATCTCTCAATTTATTTATTTTAAATACCTTACAGGCCTGTGTAAGGGGGGGGGCTTTAAAATGACACCAATCAGCCCCAAATAGAGATGTAAAACAATCTACACCCTACAGAAAACTTTAACAGTTCACACACGCTATTTAGATAATGCAAAATGAATATAGAACAAATGCATAATACGTACAAAATACCGACACAATATATACAAATCCAGCTTTTTTAATTGATAACCTTAGTGAAAATGTCCAACTAGTTGGTAATGAAATATGTCAGGGTTGGACATGAAGCTAGTCAAGCAGGTTTTTCCATATTCTAATGGCACTTGGAAGTGCTGATGCACTCAATGTTAAAAGTGTGACGAAATACGCCTATAAAACTCATATTATTAGGCAATCTTTTGAATAAACCCCTGCATATAAATCTCAATACTATTCTTTGTATATTAGGGATTACGTGGTTTGATTTAAGATTGTGTGATTGCTTTGGTGTAGTTGCAAAAGTGAAAAAATTTTTTTATTGAGCACTGAGGGAAGAAGATTTAGGAAACTGCAGGCCTATTGTATTATACTTGATTACCTCATTATGATTGGTACAGCTCCGCAAGTTCGACAATTGTTGGTGACACAGACAGGTGAGTCCCAACTGCCATTAAAGGCCATTAAAAGAGTTGCAGTTTCAACTCATTGGCTCACAATATTTCTAAGCAGTGCAATGCAAGACGAGGAGGGAGACCAAGTCCTTTTTCTCTATGCCCCTATCGTGCTTGGCGTTGAACCATGCAGTAATACGGAACCTTTACATCAGATCTAAGGTGGAGCTAGCAAACGCAACTTGCGGCGGTACTCTCGGTCAATCACTTTCACCAGTAGCCACACCCTTCTCAGATTGCAAGACAGTAACCCCCAGTATTAAGAAACGCTGCTTGAGTAGCCACCGACTTTATTGCAAAACAAACCCGTTTCGAACGCTCTGTCTTTAGGCGGTGCCAAAGCAGCGCAAACGCACAGACGCGTTTCAAACGCGCTGCATTGAAGGCAATTTCAAGTCAAGAGTCAAGGTGCGTTTCTGAAGAGACCCCTGCGCCCATGTGTCCAGCGTCAGCTGCCACAAAATCTCACAAAAGTGAAAGTTTTCAAAAGTAAATTATTGCAACGAAGTATGCGTCGATTGCTCTTACAGTCGCCAGGTTGGACTTAATTTAAATAACTGATTGTTGTAGTTGGGCGCGTGCTGTTTGTTACCACGGTACAGCGCTTTTGATTGAGAAATATGTTATTGGAAAATTGGCGCTTTGTACACAAACATGGTGCATATGCGTGGTCGCTGTGGGTGTAGGAGGCACTTCTGAAGAACTGCTAGACCGTGCTTAATGCATTGCGCTGCCTAACGACAAGCACTTTACGTGCCCGACAGCATTACCTCACTAAAAGGTTATCACACTGGCGATGGCGGGATTCGAACCCACCAATGGTCTACTTCTCCGTCATAATGGTCACACAATGAAAACAGACGAAAACCATGTCTGCGATTTCAGGACATTGCAACGGCCTGCGCTGCTTACCTGGTGCCATAGCGATGAACACTGTTGAGTATCCAAGACGTGCGCGACTCCGCACTGTACTTTTTCATCCATGCTTCGGCGTCATCCGCATTATCGAAGCTTGCGCGCAGTACTCTGATGTTTTCATTGGACGCGGTAGCGTCTTCCACAATGTCGAAGCTAACGGCTTCAGACATAATTCGTTGTTCCGGCTCACTGTATCCTGGCTCAGCTGTGGTCAAACGCGCTTGCACTATGACATCTCTTTCAGCACAGGACGACTTGAGGTTGTTCTAGCACGGTTCACAAAGTGTCATCTGAACGTTTAACGTTCAACGCACTGGTCTCAACGATGCACAACGTAATCACATGGCGAAAACAGCGCGGAACTACGCTGAATGTAAACATTGCCACAAAAATCAAAATTGCTTATTGATGATGACGATGGCGATGTGATATTTCATTTAAGGTAGTGGGAACACATTTGACTCCAGATTTGACTTAATTTTTTTTTTTTACCTCAGGCGTCCACAAAAACATATTAGAAATGAATACAAAAATTGCAAATAAAAGTTAGACAGGAATTGAAAAACCGCCAAGAAAGGTGGTTTCAGAGCCCGCTGCCAATTTTTAAGAAACGTAGATTCGTTTGTAAGTTGTAACTAAAGCAAGGGGCCCTAAAGTGGTTTGTATGGTTTTGCATAAAAGCAATAATTGAGCCGGTGAAAGAAGCTTAAAGAATTACTTGCGCATCAATCTGAGTCCAGAAATTGGTCGGAATTGGTCGTGCCCTTTCGTCAAGGTGGAACACGAAAGGATACAACTCATTTTTCGACCGACTTGGTGCTAAGCAGCGCCCGTTGAGTTGTTATATATGATTTCATTTGTTACAAATTGTGTTTCATTTGGATCTATTGTATCATTGTACCCTTGTATCGTTATATCACATTGAATTCTTGTGTACATGTATGCCAACATAATCATGTATATTAGAGCAAATGTCTTCACTGTAACGTAGTGATGTTAGTCGTGAAAATAGATGTGCCGAAGTGTATGTGCCCTGTTACTGGAATGGTATGAAGCCTTTGTGTTCTGTACATGCTGTAAATATTTTTTATAAACAAAGAAATTAAAAATACGTACGCTGGTCTGAAAAGCACACTAGTTCTGGATGGCCGGGAAAGTGCCGCTTTTTCCATAACACGTGGGGTCCGTCAGGGATGCCCATTGTCTCCTGTGCTATTTGTCCTCAGCCTTGAGCCATACTTGCGTGCTATTGACGCGGATTCACGTGTCCGGGGTCTTGCGCTTCCTGGTAGCGGTGTCGTGAAAGTCACAGCTTTCGCTGATGATATAACCTTGTACCTTTCAGATGAAGATAGCCTTTCACGTAGCCTGCGTGTATTTTGCCAGTATGGCGACATTTCAGGTGCAGCGTTGAACATCTCCAAATCCCGGTATTTCTTCATTGGCTCTCCAAACTCCAGGCTTAGCGCCGGTTTTCCCATTCAGCCGGCCGCGTCCCTTCGTATTTTAGGTATTCTATACAACCACTACGGCATTTGCGAATCTGTTTGGTTAAACACTCTCGAATAAGTAAGCCTGAAAATTCAGGATGCACGGGATTTTGACTTCCCGCTTCTTGAGCGGAGGTATCTAGCGCAGACTGTATTTTGCGGTCGCGTTTGGTACCTTTCTCACGTCGTGCAACCATCTTTACGTATCGTGTGATCACTGCAGTCTGCTTTGTGTTCCTTTTTTTTTTTTTTTGGTCAGGCGGCACTGAGTTGGTCTCTTGCGCGGCACTGGGACAGCAGCGTTTTCAGGGAGGCTTTGCTTTCCCTTCAGTGTCCATACGCTGTCGGCTGCTGGCACTGCGCTTCCTTTTGCGCCTAGTGCAAGGGGAGGAATCTCCCGCACGAACGCTTGCATATTACTTTCTGGGTACTCACCTTCGGCATTTGATGCCTAATGTGCAACTTAACAGGGGGCTGCAGTCAATAACACTTCCTGTGTTTTATGCAACAACTGTTGCATTTTTTCGCCATGTAAAGTCGAGCTGTCCTGGCAGATGTTTTGAACAACCACATAGTTGAGACAACTGCTGCTTTGTTGCTTCCATTGGTCACGCCAGCCCGCTGTGCTCGCTCTAGACGGGTGTCTTGGAGCACCTTAACGGCTTCTTTCCTGTCTGGACACCTCCGGGACTTCATGTGGCGCCTGGGATGAGGTGTGCTTCCCACTCTCGACTGCCTCGAAAGGTGGAAAATAGTCCAGTCAGCAACATGTCCGAACTGCTCCTTTCGGGAAACAAATAAGCATTTTCTGAGGCATTGTGTCATTGCTCGCGTTTTTTGGAGAGCCGTACATGCCGAATTTCACTGCCTCAGAGTAAATCGCTTCGTTTCTTCTGGGCGTTGTTCGCGAGGCCGCTTCGCTTGTCTTCTCATTGTTGCCGGCGCTTTCTGCCTCTGGCGCAAACCGCTGCGAGGCGGTTGCAGCGGGCCGCCGCCGCCGCGTGCTCTACCCGATCCTAGAACGATTGCACTCGGAGCTGCTGTCTGTTTTGTCGCAGGAGCTCTTCTTCCTCGGTGAAGAGGAATTTCTTCGGCACTGGTCTTGCCCTTTTGTGTCGGTCTATGACGGACAAGTGAAACTTGTCTTTCGGCCGGCCTGGTATTGGTAGGCTGATCTGTCGATGCACCGGCAGAAATGGCATGCCAACTTGTATATATGCAAAATGCACATATTTATGTTTTACTTGTGTATCTTGTTTACCTTGAAGTATTTTTTGTGGTTGTGTTTGTGTGAACCATCGAATGTACATGTTCTTTCAACGTCATCTTATATCCATGTTCATGTAAATGACGTCTGTTTTGTCATCATCGTTAGAGTACGTCTAAGAAGGAAATGTTCTGCTGAGTGTTATTGACGTTTGTGGCAATAATTTTTTTCTAAACAGAAAGGAACGTAGCATCTCGTTCCTAATCTCTAGGTACGGCTTTCAGCTCTCCTATCTGTACCAAGAACTCTAAATCGTTCACCACTTTTTCTGAACACACAGTGCGTAATTTATTAATTTTTCAACTTGCCATTTACTTTCTAATGTCTGCGTAGCGTTGCTACAATTACCGCGAAACACAAAACTTCTAAGACGTCTCGAAACATGTTTTGTTCAACGAGAATACCTCAAATAAGCAAAAGTCTTGTAGAAAGCGGCGCCGTCAGGACCTGGTGACTTGCCTACAAAAAGTTCTTCAATTGCATGTTCAATTTTGCACGCGCCTATAGGTCTCTCCAGACTACCTTTCATTTCATCATCAACCCGGGGCATGTAATTCAAAAACCGTGCTTCATATTCATCTCCCGCGTGGATTGGGTCTCCGAACAGTTCGCGGTAAATTTCTGTGATGGCTTGCTCTATCATATTCTTGCCCTAAGTAACGCCAATACGATAAGCAACCTGTCCTCTCCCATTTTTATTCGCGTATATACCGCTTTTCGTCGGCAATAGCGCGTTTGTTTGGCGTTCCATCAGCCCATTCTTTCCCCACGTGCCCAAATAACCGCTGCTCTATAATTTTTCTCTGTCAATGGCTTCCATCTCGCTTTTTATGTTTCCAATTTCTTCGCGATATTTTACCGGCTCCGCACTGTCCATTGAGTTAAGAAGATCGAGTTCCTTCTGAAGCTCATTTTCTTTTATTTTTTTCATTATAGCGTCTGGTGGTGCCTATTGAGATCGCGACCATCTTTACGTGGACCTTGAATTCTTCTCATGCTTCCCCGTAATGTAAAAATGTATTTCTGAACAACTTTCTAATTTGGCTCGTAACATATCGTTCACAAAGTTGTCGTCATCTAGGTGCTTTTCGTTAAACTTCCAAAACGACCGATCAAACTTGAGTTTTTTGGGCTTAGTACCTAGTAAACAACACTAAGCTGTGGTCACTAAAGGACACCGGTTGTAAAACATAGGTGTCCCACAAAGGCACTAGATCTAATAAGATATAGGCTCTGTCGAGTTTTGCCTGACTATCTCGCTGACAGTGCACGTAAACCGCGGCTGCAATGTACTGGCCATAAAGTGGCCTACATATTCTAGGTTGTAATCGCTTATTAAAGTGTTCAAGAACACCACACTCTTGTCGCAGGTGTTGGTACGTTTGGAACGATCTTCTGAAAAACACACACAGTTGAAATCACCCAAAAAGTTTATGTACCTTTCGCATTGCAGGTTCCCTTTCGTTTGTGTCGTTTGGGGCATACATGCAAATGAGTCTCCGTTGTGATCCACTGAAATGGAAATCAAGGACTACCAGCCGGCCGTTTTCACTTTCGAAGACACCCCGACACGGTAGTCTAATGGCTAAGGTACTCTGCTGCTGATCCACAGGTAGCGGGATGAGATCCTGGCTGCGGTGACTGCATTTCCGATGGAGGCGGAAATGTTGTAGGCCCGTGTGCTCAAATTTGGGCGCACGTTAAAGAACCCCAGGTGGCCGAAATTTCCGGAGCCCTTTACTACGGCGTCTCTCATAATAATATTGTGGTTTCGGGACGTTAAACCTCACGTATCAATCAATTCGCTTAAAGTGGCGACCTCTCCATCTATGCCTATGCCCCTTCGGACCAAGACCACGCAACCGCCAGACGTGCCGACAGCGAGGCAAATACCTACGTTGTAATATGTTCTAAAGGGACTTATCATTTTATTCGTCTGCTCCTCACTTTCAACTTTTGTCTCTTGTATGGCGATGATATCTAGGCCATTTTCGACGCATAGTCGGCTCAGCTGGTACTGCCTCCGCCTTGAAGCGAGGCCACGTACATCAATATTAGCAACACGAATTCCTTCCACTAAATCCATTGTGATTACTTGAATAAAAAATTCACCGGATCCCCCGTACCTGGGAATTGACGTTATGCGAAGCATGCGTAAAGAAGGTGACCATGTTGCAATTTTTTTATTGAGTGACACGTCATGAAATGACGCCAAATATATTTACACATGTTGCACGCACAGACATAAGTTGAGGAGTTGCAGATGTTCATATAACCAACTGTTCGCACTTGCACAACGATGCCAACTGTAACACGCGTATCAGCAATACCAGAAGCTGATATGAAGCGCTGATGCTCGCGAGGGCGCTGACCCTGGACGCTGCTACATAAATCAACTTCAGCGCATGGTAACTAACCACAATTGACGTTAACCTGACGTGGCGGCTCTATCAAAGGGGTACATATGAAATGTTTATTAGGTTGGGTAGGCAGCACTGCAACTACTATGGACGTTTCACGAAGATTATCGCCTATTCGAAATGTAGTTCCGAGACCTGGCGTAGCTCTGTGGTACAATGCTTAATTGCCACGCAGAATGCTTGGGTTCGATTCCAGCTGGG